TGGTGCCGCGAAAGCTGCGTCAGAAGGACCGTGGCTCACCCTCCCGCATTTGGTCCAGGCAACTGTGCGTCCGGGGCTGTGACTCGTTCGGGGCCCAGGGGCCGGCCTGGGGTGACCTCTGCGTGAGCGCCTCGTTGGGACCAGGAGTTAACAAGTTGCTCCGCGATGTGCCTGGGGGCCCAGCCTCACGGCTGACTCAGGCTGCCTCAGGTTTCGGTGGCTGGTGGCCCTCGCTGTCCACCCTCCACCCCCTCATTCCGCCATATGTGACGGTCTCTGCAGGGGAGGCCTGGTATGGCTGTGCTGGGCTCCTGGCCCAGACCCCCACGGAAAGGGCGCCCACGTTCGTTCCCACCAGTTCAAGCCCCCGATTCACCCTCCCCCATCCTTACTCCATTCTAAGCTCTGACCCCGTGAAGGCCTTTACAGGTGAACAGTCTCCAGTCCCCACCAAACACCTGGGCTCTCCACCACCAGGTCCAGACACCAAGGCCAGTGGCACGCAGGCCAGACCCACAGCAAGGAGTGTCCAAGCCCCCTCCCCCAACTCATCCCTCCGGGGCCGGCAGCAGGGCCCTGGACACACAGGCGGCCAGCTCCCAGCTTCCCCGTGCGGCAGGTTTAACGTGGAAAGAGCTGGAAACAGGGATCCCTCGTCCCCGCTGGAGCTGTGAGGGAGCCCACAAAGTTGGGGTTTAGTAACAGCAGGAGAAGCCTAGCCAGGTGCCCGCACGAGCCCCCACCCCACACGGCACCCCGGCCACACGGCTGAGCTGACTTGCAAGCTTCCAGGACTGGCCAGGCCACCAACCACAGCGGCTCTCCCCCCACCACTCTCCCACCTGCACCCGGCCCCATGCAGCTCCACTCAGCCTTCGGGCGGAAGTTTAGGGGCTGTAGGCCCAGGACAGACACCCCTGGTCCTCCGCCTGCATGGGGGGAATGCTGTAGCACCTGCCTGGCTGGGAGGCCAACGGGTCCTCTGAGATGAGGCAAGGCCAGCCGGGTCCTGGTGTGGACAGAGGTCTATCTGCACCGTCTCTTGGGCCCCCCGTTCCCACGGGAGACAAAGTAAGAAAGCTCAGCCCAGGGCCTTCAGGGCGAAGGACGGAGACAGACTGAAGCCCTGGCTTCAGTGAGCTCTGGACACAGCTTCTCCAAGCAAGCGACATGGCCTGTGCACACACGTGTCTCAGGATCAGAGGCACGGCTCCCTGCGGTCAAGGCCATGAAGACACAGCTGTGACACAGGGTGGGAGGGGACGTGGGGGCCCATTGGGATCTGCGACCTGAGGGGATGCTGAAGAGTGGGTGCCCGTGAGGCCCAGCTCACAGGAGTGGTCAGAGGGTGGCCCGGGGGCGGCCCCCGAAGCTCGGGAGCCAGGCGCCTTCCTTTCCTCGGTCACTGCCGGGTGTGCACACTGGCTTCTGGGAGGTCAGTACTCGGGATGGAATGTCAGCGCCATGAACTCGGGGAAAGATGAGCCAGACGCCCAGTGGAAAGGTCAGCCCAGAGCTGGCTGTGAGGCAAGGTCGCAGCGCTGACGGCCCGGGTGGGATGGCTGCCTGCCTGTGACTCTGGCCACCAGTCGCGGCCACCCGGCTGACCTGAACCCAGCAAGTGTGCAACCCTCGGCCTCAGGCCCTTAGCTTCTCTGTCAGCGGAGGCCACGTGGGCGCCTGAGTGTCCCTAGGGCTTTCTCGCGATCCCCGAGAAGCTCAAGGACCCTCATGGCCTAAGCAACAGGTAGACAGGGGGCTGGGCACCATGGCCGGCAGTCTGGAGAACAGCTAGAAGTATCTCAGATGGAGAGAAAGTTATCTCTAGACCCCAGGTTCTGCTGGACTCTCAACTTAGTAGCATGAAGACTTCCTTCTGTGATCCTGCGGCCATTAGCTGGGCTTCTTCCCTGAGTGCGGGCTGCCTGTCCAAGGGGTACCAGGCATCGCCAAGAACGCAAGCCCCAGGGACACAGCTAAAGTGGACACCACCATCCCCCAGACTCAGGGGCCGCCCCCCACAGGCAAGCTGCTTTGCATCTTTAACACAGCTGGTGCATGGGAACTTCAGGACCGTCACTGTTCCCCAGAAGGTCTCAGTCCCACGACAGGACGAGGGTCTTCAGCTCAGTTACCCCAGAGACTGCACGCTTCCTTTCAGAAGACTGTGAGTTAAACCCAGACGGTGGCCAACCAGAGGGAAACGCCCCGGCCGCACACGGTGTGTCTGCAGCACAAGCGCCCGGATGTCTGCTCTGCTCTGCCCTTGACCTTCACCCAGAGCCTGCACAAAGCCCAGCCCTGCCCACTCTGCTTGCCCTGAGTGTCCCACCACAGCTGTAGACTCCTCCCCATGAGGGAAAGAAAATGAAAATGAAAGTCACTCAGGCGTGTCCGACTGTTTGCGACCCCATGAACTGTAGCCCTCCAGGCCAGAACACTGGAGTGGTCTCCAGGGATCTTTCTGACCTAGGGATTGAACCCAGGTCTCCAGCATTGCAGGTGGATTCTTTAGTGTCTGAGCCACCAGGGAAGGGACCCAAACTGCCTGGGCCCTACGCAGGCCAGCAGCCAGGACTCCCTTCTAGGCTGAACAGCTGATGCTAACGTGATGTGGCGGACGGCAGGGGGCAGGGGGCTGCGGTGGGTTTCCCTGCGGTCAAGGCTTCCAGGGGTGAGGGCAGGGTTGAGACAAGATGTGGGGAGGGAGTGGGGATGTGGGGCTCTGCCCGCCCGCCCCCTTCAGCAGCACCACTGTTGTGAAGACTCAGCCTGAAGCTGAAGGAGGCAGTGACAATGGTAAGAACACCAAACCCAAAACTGGAAACTTGAATTCTGTTTTTTCATTCATGCATTTATTTTATTTTTTTGAAAAGGAAAAAAACCATACATATAAGGATGGCCCCTGTGATTTGCTAAGGAGTCCGGGCTGCCTGGGGGCTGCTCACAGGGAACCTGCAGTTCAGTGTGGTGTCTGTGATCACAGCCCCTTGGGGCATGGAGACCACTCAGGAAGGTGGGCAGGGCTGAGCTCCAGGGGCGGGTGGCATGGCCCCCTTGGCCTCTGGGGATGAAGCAAATGTCCAGGAGAGATGTGAAGGGAGACCAGGCCACATGGCCATGCTCTGGATGGACAGACGGATGGACAGAGAATTTGCGGGTGGAGCAGGGTCACCAGCTGAAAGGGGCATTCTGGGCAGACATAGGGGTGAAGGGGTGTGGAGCAGGGACTGGTGGAGGGGCCTGCAGGACTGAACGATGGCTGCAGGGAGGGGGAGATGGGGGCCCCAAGACAGCCCCGCCCATGACCTCAGCAACATCTCTTTGGGGGCCTCAGTACCCCCATCTGAAGGGCAGCCTGGCTCTTGCACAGGTCCCACAAACACTGGAGCATCTGTGTTAGTGGGAGGTGAACCTGGAGTGAAATGTAGGAAATGATGTTCGAACTAGTTTCTAAACTGTTTCAGAAAGTGACTTTTCTTTATAACATTCAATTTTTAATCAACCATACTTGAATTTTAATTAGGACATGATTGTTACATTTTCAAGTCAACACTGAATATTTCTGCCAACAGGGCTGCAGTACTGTGTCCAACAGCAGGCAGGACTTGCGAGGTGTACCCAGTACTGACCACAGATGTGCAGACGGGCCCAGGGCAGGAGGGCAGATGTTCTCCTCGTGCACAGGCCCACGGCAGCGTGTGTTCCTGCGGTTCTGTCCATGTGCACGCTTGTGACACGGTGACTTTACAGCAAAACCACGTTGTTCAAACCTGGAAAGCCTTGGCTACTGGTTTCCCAGAAAACAGTTAATTCTACTGTCTGATGGCCCAACAGGTTTTCTAGGGCTTTCTGTCACCTAGTCTATTGTAACACAGAGGGTTTCACATTTACAGAAAAACTGAAGCCTCTAAAAATATCTTCATAAGGATATAACTGCTTTTGCAATTAGTTCTAAGTATGTGATTTCCCTCTTAGATTATAGGGATCTCTCAAGTCTTGAGAACAAAAGCCACAGTATAACAGCTGCGCTTACATGACACAACAGAATCAGGACTAGGTCCTCTCTGGACACAGACCTGCCTGCCTGGAGGAGGTGGCAGGGGCTGGGGCACCAGGCTGCGGGGCTGAGCTCTGCTGGGAAACAACTGCCTACGAGTTCAGGGGTGAAGCAACAACAGTGTTGCTCTCCTTAAGAGAATAGCCTGGAACGTGGAACAGGTGCAAACAGGCCTTTTTAGAACGAGAAACCACCCTCAAAGTGTGTGAATGGACCATGTGAACAAGGTGTTTTTGCTCAAGTAAAGGGTGTTTGGTGAAATAACATCACCAACTCAATGGACATGAACTTGAGCAAACTGCGGGTGATAGTGGAGGACAGGGAGGCCTGGCATGCTGCAGTCCACGGGGTCGCAAAGAGTCGGACACGACTGAGCGACTGAACAACAACAACAAAGGGTGTTTGGGGGTGAGAGCCTCCCGGTCAAGGGGAGACGCAATTTTCCAGCTGAGAGTTTTATGTGGGACGTCAGCTTGGGGACGGAACCATCATGTTAGTGAATGACCACACCAGTCACCAGCCTCAGGCCTCAGGTTTATTTCTCAAGCACCTGCAAAATCATGACAACTACTTGCATTTCCACCTTAAGCATCTCGAGAATTTAACTCATGCCGAGGCCACCTCATCAGCTTCTGAGAACAAAACAGCTGCACCTTCTTGCCCCCTTGGCAGTTTCACATCAGCAAGCAGCCTCCAAAGGATCAGTAATCACCCCCAAATGCAGCCCCACTCCCACAGTAATGAAGGAAAGCACACCAAAAGCTCCACTTCTGTTTGGAAGGAACCAACGACGAGATCTTGCTAACAGGACATGATGGCTGGGCCCACAGCGCGACCACACAGTTTGAAGCGACTGAAACATCAGGGTCCCTGATTTTCTTTTAGGAAAAGCACCCCGTGGGTTCGTTGGCAGCATTTACGGTTAGAAAGAGAGCGTTACCATTGGCAGGCAGGTAGGTGAAGTGCTGGTACTGGCTCCGCTTCCTCTTCCCGTTGCAGACGTAGAAGTTGACCTGCACAGGGCTGGTTATCCTCTGGTTGCGGAAAGGCGGGATTTCCACCACCAGCGAGTTCTAGACAGAAAGAGGTGGGCGAGGGCAGTGAGCAACTCACAAGCCAGGGACGCACCCAGCAACCCACCCCCCCGCCCCCGAGAGTGAGAGGCGCAGGTTTCTCCCTGGAGAGGCTGGCCCGAGAGCCTGAGGCCCTGGGCTCCTGCACAGCCAGAGCCCAGAGAGGGCTGAGGGGAGCATCTGGGGAGGAGGCGGGGGCTTCATCTAAGATGCCTCCGACTGAGTCCAGGAGAGAAGCCCTGAGCACAGGTGCCAAGAGGGGACCAGCCACTGGGCAGGACCCCACGCCTTTCTGCCCCCAAACCCAAGCATGACCTGCAGGAAACTAATAAGCCCCCAGGCACTGACTTGCAGGTGGAGCCAGGAGCACCTGTCCAGGTAACTGGCAGCAGAGACCCAGGGCAAGTGCCCCCTGGAGACACTCTGTGCCAATGGCCCAAAGCCCGAGCCAGGACCCCAAGAATGGACGGGGACTGGAAGGTGAACTGGCAGGCATGATGGACCAAGGGTTTATGGACGCTGTTGTTACCCTTCCAGGTTTTAAATTAATGATCAGCAACATCTGCACAAAACTGCCTCCTTTCAAGTACAGATACACAGAGGAGTCACTGGGGCGGGGCCAGCGTGTGTTGGGGAAGGAAGCAGGGAGGGTCCATGTGCTCAGGTGCCCGGCCATCTACATGAGGGCCCAGACTCAGCACCAAAGAGGGGCCCTGATTTTGGGGGTTGGGTAGGGCAAGATTTCACATCCTAAAAGGTTTCTTCAATGATTTTTATCATACGATTCAGTTAACAAGAGGAAAATGTAGAAGAAAAATCCGTGGCATCACTTTTTTTTAAAGAGTTGTTGTAGCCTATTACCTAATTAACAGCAAAATTGATTCAATCCAGTTAATAATGAAATCTTAAGAATGTTTAAACAGAAAAGTGAGAACTTCAGGGCAACTCTTCCCTTTATAGATGAAAACATGAGGCACAGTCTGCTAAGGGCATCTGGTTGGCGGGAGGGGTGGTGGTGGTAGGACCAGGCCTGCAGCCTGCTCTGGGCTCTATCTCCTGTGACCACATGTGGGTCAGAAACTGCATTTCTGTTGTTTTAATAACTTCATCCTGTTTGGAACAAGACAGAGCCAGTGGAGCAAAGGGTGAGTGACCGTGCAAGGGCATGTGTGCTCAGTCAGACCCCTACCGGGGCTGCACCTCTGCCAAGTCTGTGTCCCAGCCCCGCAGCCCGTGTCCGGGAGCCCGACTTGGGCTGGACAGGCCTGCGCTTCATCCCAGGCTCTGACATCTCCAAGTCTTCGCTCCACCACTGGCACAGGGGAAAGGACAAGGAAGATGCTCCTCGGGGTGGTGGTCTGAGGAGGGGACTGCAGGTAATGCTGGCATCGCGCACACAGCTGGTGCTCAATGACGGAAGACATTGGAGTCAACAGCAGAAAGGTAGAGGGCTTGCTCAAGTCGAGACCAGAACCAGAGCTGGGACGCAGGAATGGCTTCAGAGACGCACCGGGACATGCCCGGTGGGGCAAGGAACCTTCAGCAGGTTCCACATCAGGGGGTCGGGTGCTCTTTGTTCCAAGTGACTGGAGGACTGTATTTAGATGTGGGCACAGACTGATACGCTGGACAGGTTATTAAATCATGATGACGCACTAAATGCGCAGTGAGGGTAGAGGTCAGAAGGGAAACCTGTCTCTCCAGCACCAGGGCGAGGGGTCCAAACGGCACTCAGCACCTCCATGCCACTTACTTTGAGAAAACCCACTGTCTACACTGCTCATGGTTGTATATAAACCACACACACAGTGCCACCCAGCCTTGTTGAAATGTATAATGTGTATGTACATGTGTTATGTAGATACATGCCCACTGTCTACACTGCTCATGGTTACACATAAACCATACATATAGTGCCACTCAACCTTGTTGAAACGTATAATATGTATGTATGTGTGTGTGTGTAGATACATACCAACTGTATACAGTTTAAGGTCATACATAAACCACACACGCAGTGCCACCCAGCCTTGTTGAAATGTATAATGTGTATGTATGTGTGTGTGCGTGTAGATACACGCCCATGACAGGAAAAGGGTGGAAGGAAATACGCCCACATGTTAATGGTGGCCACATCCCACTGAAATTTCACTAGGCGTTTTCCTTTTTATACTTTGTTAATATCTTCCAAGTTTCCACAATGAATACGGCACTCTTTCATAATTAGAAGAAATATATGAAAGTAAACTTCATTTAAGAGATAAGAAAGGTGAAACTGTAAACCTGAAGCACATTGCTGTTCACATGCTTTTCTCTCAGAACACACGACTGATAATGGTTAAGTTTTCTTTAAAATATGCACTGTTCACAGTGGAAAAGGAAACCCAACAACGGAAAATCTGAACATGCAACTTGGCGGAATTATTTCGATGCCAAAAATGCACAGTTTCTTCTGGCCTCTCCTTCCTGCCCAGGGAGAAGGGGTGGGTGGCCCGGGGGCAGAGGACTTGGGCCTACAGTGGGGCTGGAACCTGGAGCCAAGGGCCTCTGTTTCGGCGTGACTGACAGCAGCTGGTGTTGGTCATGGTAAACCCGAGGTCCACCTCAGTAACTGCGGGGCCTGTGGGGCCTAGAGTCCTTGTCCAGAAGTGGAGTTCCTATGCCAGCAACACCTCTCCAAGGGAACCAGGAGGAGCCGTGAGGCAGTGTGTGAGGTTAGAGGCCTGGACACCCTGGGGGGGTGGTGGTGGCAGGGGGATACAGGTGTCCTCCTTGGGCCTGGGAGGAAAGGTTTCCCTTGACACCATCTGGAAAGGTTTCTGTAAATGGAGCAGTGCTTGGAAAAGGAAGCTAAAGTCACAGGTAAAGATGCTTGGGGTAGTCATGTATGAATGTGAGAGCTGGACCATAAAAAACGCTGAGTGCCAAAGAATTGATGCTTTCAAATTATGGTGCTGGAGAAGACTCTTGAAAGTCCACTGGAGAGCAAGGAGATCAAATCAGTCAATCTAACAGGAAATCAACCCTGAATATTCATTGGAAGGACTGGATGCTGAAGCTGAAGCTCCAGTACTTTGGCCACCTGATGCAAAAAGCTGACTCACTGGAAAAGACCCTGATACTGGGAAAGATTGAAGGTAGAAAGAGAAGGAGGTAACAGAGGATGAGATGGCTGGATGGCATCATCCACTCAATGGACATGAGTTTGAGCAAGCTCTGGGAGTTGGTGAAGGACAGGGAAGCCTGGTACGCTGCAGTCCATGGAGTTGCGAAGAGTTGGACATGACTTAGCAGCTGAACGACAATAAGATGCTTCTTCCTGATGAAGCCACCTGTGTGGAGGGAGGAGATTCCAGACACAGGGCAGAGGGCACCAGGATCACATCTGCAAACCTTCCAGCCAACGAAGAAAATTCAGTCCTTATCATGAATGAGATTTTGAACAATGACTGCCACTGCCTGTGCTCTCGGGAATGGACCGTCCACATGCCACCATCAAGAGACCAGTGGGACGAGGGAGAGAGACTGGAGGAATTTTGAACTTCAAAAAATCACCGTAGGATGTTAAGAGTAATATAAAATTATTAAATATAAATCTATTATATTTAAATTATTACCTCATTCAAGATGTTCTTATTCTTATTTTTTCTGCACTTGATAAAACATTCTCAGAGAAATGCTAATATGTCTTACAGTGATTATATATTTTTTCTTTTCCCTTATATTTCTTCTGATTTTTGCTTTATGTATCTTTGTTTCTTTGCTGTTAGGTGTCTAATGGTTTATAATGTCTATCTTCTTTGTGAATTGTACCTTTTATCATTAAAAAAATTCATCTTTTTTCATTTAAAATAAATAAATTTAAATTTTTAAATGTAAAGAATTTTTAAAAAGTCAAAAAAAAATCACTTGCCAGCCTGTGCATTATGTTACCTGAAGGTTCCTCCTGCTCTGTGAGGACAAAGGAAGACAGACACTTGGAGGTGCTGTCCACCTCCAACCCATCAATAAACACTTCAGACACACTGTCTCCACACCCCAACCAGAAGGCAAGGACTGGGAGTGTGGGTGAGAGCACAGGGCTGCTCTGCTGGCCATTCTTACAAAATAAAGAGGCAGGCCGAAAGGCGCACCATGTCAGTGGAGAAGCTGCTGCCGACTTCAGACAAAAACACACCAAGAAGGCACCAGTCTCCCTCAGCCCCCCTGGTTCTCTCTCAGGCCTCCTGATTCTCCCTCAGGCCCCCTGGTTCTTCCTCAGCACCCCCCCTGGTTCTCCCTCAGGCCCCATTCCTGGTTCTCCCTCAGGCCCCCTGGTTCTCCCTCAGGCTCCCCTGGTTCTCCCTCAGGCCCCGCTCCTGGTTCTCCCTCAGGCCCCCTGGTTCTCCCTCAGCACCTGCCCTGGTTCTCCCTCAGGCCCTCCTAGTTCTCCCTCAGGCTCCGTGGTTCTCCCTCAGGCCCCCCTGGTTCTCCCTCAGGCCCCCCTGGTTCTCCCTCAGGCCCCCCTGGTTCTCCCTCAGGCCCCCCTGGTTCTCCCTCAGGCCCCCTCCTGGTTCTCCCTCAGGCCCCCTCCTGGTTCTCCCTCAGGCCCCCTGGTTCTCCCTCAGCACCTGCCCTGGTTCTCCCTCAGGCCCTCCTAGTTCTCCCTCAGGCTCCCTGGTTCTCCCTCAGGTCCTCCTAGTTCTCCCTCAGGCTCCCTGGTTCTCCCTCAGGTCCTCCTAGTTCTCCCTCAGGCTCCCTGGTTCTCCCTCAGGCCCTCCTAGTTCTCCCTCAGGCTCCGTGGTTCTCCCTCAGGTCCCCTGGTTCTCCCTCAGGCCCCCCTGGTTCTCCCTCAGGCCCCCCTGGTTCTCCCTCAGGCCCTCCTAGTTCTCCCTCAGGCTCCCTGGTTCTCCCTCAGGTCCCCTGGTTCTCCCTCAGGCCCCCCTCCTGGTTCTCCCTCAGGCCCCCCAGTTCTTCCTTAGGTGTGAGCAGCCACAAACACCACGGAGGCCGAGTGTACAGATGGGCACCGGCAGGCCCCGGGCCCTGCAGAGGGCAGGTGTGCACAGCGGACCTCGGGCCTGCAGGTCACCCAGGCCAGCAGGACAAGCAGGTGGAGCAGCACTTAGATCTGACCTTGAGCTTGTGTCCTGCTGGAAGAACAGCCCATGAGGAACCAAGGACGCTGGCGGAAACCCTGGGCCCGCATGGACAGGCAGTGAGGGGCAGGGCTCAGCCTCCGGAGAGGGGGTCCTCCTGGAGGGCAGCAAGTCTGGGGTCCCTGGTTACAATGGCCAGAGGAGACCGCAGGCTCTGGGCATGTGTGTGCACCTGGTCTACCTGGTGGGGGCGGGCAGCCCAGGCGATGCCTGGCTCTCTGCAGTTACCCCGCGTCTGCGTTGTCTGCTCCCTGCGCTACACAACCGTTTCTACTCCTCACTCTCTCTGTATGCTCATCCCTGGTTCACTGCAACAAACCAGAAGCCATGCGCCTTGGGCCAGGAGCTCCTCTGAAGTCAAGAGTCCCCCCAGAGAGCCCGTGGCCCCCGAGGCCGTCTGTCCACTCCCCCTGCCCCCAGAGCCACCTGTCTGGCCCACACTCACCGGCTTGCACAGGTCTCCTTCGGTTTTTGCCTCCATCTCCCAGATGTGGTGGCCATCTGCAAGAAAGGGTTCAGGAAGTCTGTTATTCTGTCCCGACGGGGCGGCCCCCAAATTGCACCTGGACATAGGCAGATGGGAGTCCTGCGTTGAGAGGGGGAAGCCCTTGAGCGTCCCTAGAATCAGCCCTGGAAGGGGTCTACACTCCAAGGGGGAGTGACCCAGGAGGAACGCAGGCAACCCCGGTAGGAAGGCCATCGTCTAGAATGTGAGTGCAGTGCACACAGTGGGAGCTGGGGCCTCATTACCTGGGCCTGACGAGCCCTCGTGGGTCTTGGGAGCAGAGTTATTCTAATGAGTGTGGCCCTAGAGCCATGGGTCCTGCCCTGCTCAGGGGATCTGGGGGCTGAATAAGAAAATCCTCTCTGAGACTACGCTTTGCCACATCAGGACACAGAAATGCAAAACACAAGGTATTTTTAACCTTACCCCGTGGCCGTTTGCATGTTTGAAAAAATGAAAAGGCTCCAGTGCCCGTGAAAGAAAGGGCTTATTGTCCCTGGGCCAGGCCCTGGAGGGAAGCAAGGCCTGGGACCCGCTGGCTGGGGTGACAGAGCCACGTTCCAGGTGCTAGGAAGCCCCTCTGGCAGGCATGCTTTGCCTACAAGGCCTGGTCGTTATTTGGAATTAACAGATGCCAATCTCCTACACAGACCTCATTGCGCTTTTTTATAAAGTCACTCCCCAAATGAATCATTACATCTAGTAATGGTTCTGGGCCTAGTTTTTGCTTTCTCTCTGTTTTCCAAGAAGAAATGTGTGTGTTACAAATACTAAATTATAAATAAGTTAAACAGCATCGCCTTTTTCTCCCTCGCGGTGCTGGCCGGGCAGGGGCGGAGGGCGGAGCAGAGAGGAAATGTGAGTCACAGAGAAGCCTGGACGTGCCAGTCCACATCAGCCCCTCGGGACACCGAGTGCCCGTGCAGAGCATCCAGCAGATGACCCACTAGGGGATCAAACACTGCTGGAGCCTGGGGACCCGCATCCGTCTCTCCTCTAGGAAAAACCAACAGGAGACGGAAAGAACACCCCCACCTTTAAAAGCGCCGGCATTCCACAAGCAGCAGATGCTCCCATGAGCAGGGCTCAGGCAAGAAGTGACCCCAACTTGGGCAATAAACGGCAGAGGGTCCCTGGTGCCCGTGCGAAGCACCTGTGGACACGGCTCCCGTGGCAAAGCCCAGACCCGCTGTGGATGTGCCACTGGGCCCCACCCACCCCCACTGGTTTGAAGAAACCAAAATGACTCTTTTTGTAACTGAGCCTCTCACGTCCTTGGTGCCTTTTGAAAACAACAATTTTTCTTATGACAAAGCCCATCATTGCCCCCAAAACAGCAGTTAAATGTTAAAACTTGAACAGCTGGGGCAAGGCCTTGCAACTGCTTCACCTCTGGTCCATAGAGGTTGACAGACCCCTTCACCCAGCGTCCATCGCCCACCCTCCAGGAGGGTTCAGAGACCAGCCCAGCCTCCTGGGAACAGGCTGCAGGTCCACAGGTGGAACAGCAATGAAAAGAAACACGGGCGTGGAGTGGGTGGTAGGCGTGCACACCGAGGACAAGCATGGCAGGAGGCGCCTTCCCCTCCAGGCCCTTGCGGGCCGTGGGACACCATCCTGTCCAGTGCTGGCCTGGGGTCCAGCGGTCCCACCGTGCAGGCACGTCCGCAAGCTGACCAGCCTGGCCACCTGCACAGGCTCACAGCCCTGTCACAGCGTCTGAAAGCACAGATCCCAGAGACAGAGACAGATGAGCACGGAGCAAAGGGGAGAGGCAGACAGGCCACTGAGGTCCGGCTCACAGGCCCAGGGCTCCTGCGTCCCTCACCCTGGCCTGGGCGCTCTGGCCCAGTCTCTGTTCTGTGGTCAGAAGTGCACACGCAGTCCTGCTCCAGGAGGAGGCCGGAGTAGGAGCCAGGGTGGCCGGTGCCTGCTGTGTTGGACCCCCACACAGGATGCTCCCCAGCAGCCCCCACCCCACTGACCACTGACTCCTCGCACTGCCCTGGCCTGGGTCCAGTGCACCCCGGCCTCTGGTGTCCGTGTCTGCAAAGCTGCTGGGAGGCCACCGGGTGTGGAACGCAGCCGCAGCCCCTATGGGAAGGGAGGCCATGGGCCTGAATGGGCCTTTGTGCTCCAGCCTTATCAGGAGCTTGCTGGCCTCCTCAGTAGGAAACTGTGTGCAAGCCCAGGAGTAAAAATATTCCGAGTCATTAGGGAATTCCCTGCAGCATGAGTCATCGGAAAGGCTTCCCCGCCACACCCGGCGGGAGGAGCCGGGCCTTGGGAGGGGCCGCGGCCGCACGTCCTGCTCCAGGCTCTGCAGGGTGGGGACCAAGTGGGCCCGCTGGACGGAGGCCAGAGGGTCCCTGGCAGCTGACCCTGCCTGAAACTCGCTGGTTTCTAGCCCTCCGTGGGGCCAGGGTGGGGGTGCTGCCTCTGACGCCCAGGTGGACAAGCAGACGTGCCTCTAGAGTGAAGGAAGATCACTCCCTCACCCAGGGGAGGAACACATGTGTACTCACGTGAGCTGCACACAGACCCATTGAGGCATCGTGCGTGACACCAACAGCTGCCCACAGTGAGCGACAAGCAGGACGGGCACCCTCTGGCCCTCAAAGGGTGATGTTCTGATGCCCTCACGGGACACTCCTTGAGGACCTTGCTGGGTGGCGGAGCTGGGAATAGGATGCCAGGTCCCCTGACCCCAGCAGGGCCCCACCTGCCTGCCTTCTTCATTGACGGCACTTGGGAAACACAACCCCCCAAGACTGTTGAAAACATTCAGTTCAGGGTCATGGAAGGACCACTTGGCTCCGAGGCCCAAAGTGAGAAAAAGCCTCCTGAGGACCAGAGGAGCCTGGCCGCGGCTCCTTTCCACCCACTGAGGGTCAGCGCTGTTTCCTGATGGTTAATCCTGGGTGGGTGGCAGACCTTCCCTGCATGAAACAAGTCCTGCTTCTGTTGCAAGGACTGAGGACGTGATGTTCTCTTCTGGGTCTGTGACCACATGGGGTTTGGGACCTCAATAATAGGTGTGAAGAGGTCTGACAGGGAGGTGGTCTGGTCGTGTAGCTGGCGGTCACGCTGAACCTAATGATTCTCCAAGTCTACACTCTGGGTGGTTTAGCCCTGAGCCTGGGCAGATAGGACCTGCCTAAGCCTCAGTGCCAAGGGGTCCCCCTCGAGTCTGGGCCTTGAGGAGGCCCAGTGTCCACTGAGGATACCCTGGGGGCCACACCCATGTCCAGCCACGCACAAGCTGCAGCAAACCATATTGCCTGCCGAAGCTGCCAGCTCTGGTGAGGTCTGCTGAGCTTCACACGGTTTCTAGGAACCGTGTGGAAAGGCTGGGCTGCACACCGCTGACTACAAGCGTCACAATCGAGAACCTGGTAATGTTCACGGCGATGCAAGCTCCAAATCCCTGGTCTCTCCTGATCCCCCTTCATGTGGGCACTCTGTGTTCGCGTATTTAAATGTTTTTTCTATTTTTTTAATATTCGCACATGTGTGCAAGTACATCCCTCGTGCACAAGTCTGAACAGAGCCCCCTGACCTCCAGCAGGAGATGGCGGGGGGGCATCTTAGCGTCCTGCTCCTGCCAGGCCTCCCAGTGAGTCTGTCCCAGGCCCCACGCTCAGGGATGTTCACTGAGGGAGGTGGCATCTGGCTCAGAGGCCACAGCTGTCCTCCTTGAAAGGCCCTGTGGCTTCTTGCTGGACACTAAGCCCTGAGCAGAACTGCAGGTTGGTTCTGGAGAGTCCCACCATGAATGCAGCTGAGAACACGAACATCTCAGAGATGAGAGCAGCTGCTTCACGGCTCTTTTTGAGGGATCCCATGACCACGGGAGGGGCCTTTGCTCCCACATCCTGAGGGCCATCCTCCTCTGGGACCCTGCTCAGTCACACGAGGTGGGCACAGGTGATAGCTGGCCCTGGCCAAGAGGAATCTTGAAACACTTAAGAAACTCCAAGCACTGCTCAGAGCAGCTGAGGCGACATGGTGACTAAACACCCACCTCACCCAGCGTCTGACATGCGACAGGGCAGCCACAGTCCTGCTCCTGCCCAGCCTCACCACTCGCATGCTGGCCTTGCTGCCTCCAAGTAGCAGCTAAAGACAGAACTTTCTAGCACACCAGGCACCTCCTTGGGAGCCTAGAGGATGACCAGGCTTTCAGTCTAAATTGACTTTAGTGGTTTCTTGCCCAAAAGTCAACCAGGAAAAGCCCAGTGACTGTTGAGGCCCGTCAGGAAGCATGTGTGCTCGGCCAAGAATGCACATTGGACACACAGGACTGGCATGGATGTGTATGCAAATGTGCGAGCAACTTTGTTTAGATGCAGACACAACATGACAGGACGCACAGCTGTGTGTTTACATCGCACTTTATATGACGCACCATGTGTTTGCGGGACGTCTGGTTTCCACCTACTTACTGGTTTTTCGCCCTCTGCCCACCAGACATGGAACTGCTGCAGAAACAGCAGGCTGGGGACAGGCCAGTGTGGCAGCGAGTGGCAGTGGCACTGAGCCCGCCTGGGGGTCAGGGAGCCCTGGAAGCCCAGTGAGCTTGACAGCCAGGTGCCTGGGAACTCAGCTCCCAGCTGCAAGCGGATGGCCACTGTGGAGACCCGTGACCAGGCCACCGTGACCGAGGAGCCCGCCGCCGTCCACGATAAGCTGAGGAGATCGGGAGACGCCTCATGGTCCCGTCACGGCACCCAGGTGGAGGTCAAGGCTGATCGCTCGAGGAAACAGCCTGGGGCACCGGCTGGCTCCCACCACACACATCTCCGAGCATGGTGAGGACCCCGCCACCCACAGGCTGGGAGGGGGTGCCCACGCACACATTTAGAACACAAACGCTGAAATTATTTCAAAATTCACCTCCTCCAAAGAGGGGCATTCTGGTAATGTGAATTCTTCCCCCACCATTGTACTAAGGCGGGTCTTCTCCCTCCTGTAAAACAATTTCCAATCACAGGCACAATAGTGCAGGCAGAACCAAGTCAACATGAGAGACTCTCAAGCCCGTTTTGACTGAAGCACTTACGTTTCCTGCAGACTGTACAAAATCAGCCTCATTACGGAGGCTGAGAGCCTCCGCGGTTAGCGGTGAGCAGCAGGGGCCTTGCTTTAGGCTCGAGAGCTGGACTGGGCCTCAGAGGAGCAGCTGGGCAACTGGCCCTGGAACCCGGCCTGTGGGCACCCCCTCCCAGCCTGTGGGCAGCGGGACCCCTTCAGGCCAGCTCCCCACAAGGAACGTGCTCTACAAGTACACCCCAGGGTGTGAGACAGGTGAGGCCACATGCTCACTCTTATGAGCATGTGGGCTGGGGCGGGCCGAGCAGCCCTGGGGCAGGAGCCATGCTTCCCCCAGCCCTACTCCCACGCCTACCCCTAATGCCCTGCATCCATCCTGCAGCTCGATGACAGGCTGGTCACCTGGTTCCCCAGACACCAGAGAGCAGAGACCCTTTCCCTTCAGACCTGCAGCATAGCATACACACAGGTCCACCTGCAAGCACATACCCACACACATGGGCAGCTGTGGCCCCAGGGGCCACCGTCATTGAAAGCAACCAGTGTTTCCCTCTGCACCGCGGGGTGCTGTGCCACCAGAACGAGCGGCACAGAAAGGTCTCTGGGCCCCAGTGGGGTCCCTCACGGCTGCCATGCCCACTGCACACCTGGATACCTGCCTAGGATGGTCTGTGGTTCTGAGAAAGGCAAAGACGAGCAAGAGCTGGTCGGAGCCCCTGAGGAGGCACCCGCTAGCCGGGCAGACGCAGGCCCCACACCCACAGCCCCTCGAAGCCACGCAGGGAGGCCCTGGGACCGCGCATGGCACCCTCTCCCGCCAGCCAACCTCTGCCAACGGCCAAACAGCAAACACTCAATGCTGGTTTTAAGAGGAAATACCTGGTGCTTTCTCCACAAAAATGACCTTGGAGTCCTGCAGAAAGTTGTGGCCAGACAGGACCATCCTCTTCCCTCCAAGGACGGGGCCGCTGGCCGCACTCTGCTTCTCCACGAGGGGCAGCTCCTGGGCCGAGCGCTGGGCTGCAGGGGTGGGGCGAGAAGTGAGCCAGTGAGACCCCTCCCAGGAGGGCCGGTCCACCCACACCCCCCCAGCCCCTCCTGGGCGGCTGGTCCACCCATGACCCATTGTCAAAGGGAAGGCAGCACACCTCTGACTGGTCCAAGTGGAGACGCGTGTGCATATACCTGTGAGTGTGTGTGTGTGTGTGTGTGACTCCGTGAGAGTGAATGCATTCTGCTAGGGTGATCACCCTTGAAGGGCCTGGGGAAGCTGTGGGGAGTCCTGCAGGTGAGGGGGGACACAGCCTGCCCGCCGGCAGCAACAGGGTGATCCCCGGGTCTAACTGGGCGCGGGGCCCACAGAACAAGGCACCCCAGGCTAAAGTTGGATGTGGAGGGCTGTCCATGGTGGGCTCTCAGGGGTTGAGGACACAGGCAGCCAAGCTCGGGATGTGGGGCAGAGGTCTGTGTAGCAGCAACAATGAGGATACACTCTGCGGCCCCTAGTCACCAGGGTCCTCACACGAGGCCCCCCAGTGACCGGGGTCCTCACACGAACCCCTCAGTGACCAGGGTCCTCACACAGCCCTCCCCAGTAGCCAGAGGGCCTGAGATGAGGGGCCTGCTCCTTCTCACCGGGAGGGAACACAGGGCAGAAAGCTGGAGCCACCTGCAGCAGAGCCCACGGCCTGGGGATGGACATTTGGAGACTGGACAGGAGGGTCCAGCAAGAGTGGGGGAGGGGACCACGTGGCAGAGAAGGGCTGTGAGGGAGGGGTCACGGGGTAGAGGGGGGCCGTGAGGGAGGGGTCACGGGGTAGAGGGGGGCCATGAGGGAGGGGTCACGGGCCAGAGAAAGGCCGTGAGGGAAGGGTCACGGGCCAGAGGGGGGCCATGAGGGAGGGGCCATGGGCCAGAGGGGGGCCGTCACTGATATCTGACTGATGCTCAGGTCAGAGACAAAGGAATGAACCAGGATGCTCCCTGAGGCAGTGGGCCGGTGAGCTGTGAGGATGGGGGTCCCGACACAGCACACTCCCTGGGGCGGGGCGGAATGCTGTGGGCTGTGGGAAGGGAAGTGTCCGGCGGGGACTGGCCCTCGGCCTAGACATGGGGCAACAGGAGCGGGGCACTCACAGCACTCGATGGGGTTGGAGGCCACCTGCAGTGACAGCGTCCGGCCGTTGGGCTGCGGGATGTGGACGCGGAAGACCAGCCGCACCCGTGTGTTCTTTCTCCCGATGTCCGTCTCCCCCTTGCGCAGCTCGATGTCGGAGTTCCTGAGTTTCAGGATCCCAGCACAGTCGATGCTGTGAAACAACAGTGCCGCCTCAGCCCCCAGCCTGCCTGACACCTGCTCACCTGTCAGGACGGCCCCACGTCCACCCATCAAGTGCGGGGGGGGGCGAAGAGGCAGGACAAGCCAGCTCTTCACGCATCCTGGTCTCAAGCAGGCAGAGCCCCACTTGCTCAGGGCCCTGCCGCACTGGGCAAGTGTGGACGCCCCAGAGGAAGTCTCCCAAGGCGGGCTCTGAAAACCTCCTTCCCCAAGATTCTGGGAGTGTCCCCCCTCAACTCAGGATCCTGGATTTGCTAGGGCCTCATGTGATTTCCTCTAGTTTCATTTAACTTAATGATTCTAACCAACACCAGCCTCCAGCACAACAATCCACAGGCAACTTGTCAGATGGAAACCACCCCTTGCCTCTGTCAGAAGCTCAGAGATGAGGCAGCACGAGGCCTGCAGGTCGGGACCACAGCCCGGCCCAGAGTGGCGGGAAGCCTGGCCCGCGGTGACCACGCTGCCCCAGGCTGAAGGGTTATTTCATGGAGTAAACGCAGCCACTGGAGTCAGAGCTGCAGCTGCTGGAGGGACCAGCAGGGTCTCCCAGTTGTCAGCATTCCTGGTCCTTGGGAAACTTTGAATGAATCCCCCCCAAATTCCTGAAAAGCCAACACAGAGAGAAGGCTTTCATTTTGTTTATAATACGGAGGATTTAGGAGCTACTTACAAATGACTGGTCAACACCCCACACAAGCCCACACTGTGGCTTCCCACACCCTCCCTCCCCAACCATGGCCCTGGCTCCATCTCGCCCGAGGATACCCCAAACCCACCTGGCCTCAGGGCCTTCTCACCTGCTGTCTCCCTGCACAGTCAGCTTCAAGGCCACCGCCACAGACACCCCGAGAACCCCGTGTTAATGAACTGCTGCCTTACGTGTTGATCTAGACACACAGGGTGTTGATGCTCCATCCTGCACCCAGAGGCCCCCAGGAGAAGGTGAGTCCAGAGGGACAACCCTGTCCCCTTTCTCTGCCGCATTTGCGGCTCGGGAGTGAAGGGCTGGGCACACTGTGGTCACTCGGTTAATGAGGCCACAAACAGGGACCCCACTTGGACCTGAGAAGATGACTTTGTAGCTTGCTAACCGAGTCACCTCTACGCCAACGAGCCAGGCCTGACCTGAACATTCTAGCTGGTCACATCAGCAGAAACCCTCAGTGAAAACACGACCCAGACATGCCGGTCTCCATAATGCTTCAACATTATTAGCATTTTAACCACTCCTCTGGCTTTCACAGAGCTTTCAAAAAGAAAAGGGTGCCATGCGGGGGTAAGGGGGGGAGTTAGGCGAGAATGACTTCATGTATATGTATGGCTGAGTCCCTTTGCTGTTCACCTGAGATGATCACAACATTGTTAATCGGCTGTACCCCAATACAAAATGAAAAGTTTTAAAAAAAGAAGTGGGTGCCACGTTTGCACACGGAGGGGGCACACACAGCTGTGAACTGAGTGGCAACATGAAAACCCTGGAAGGAAACAAGTCTGCCGTCGTAAATATCTGTAAAGTTTCCTGAGGTGTTGAGCAAACTGGAAATGTGAGGAGAGGACTCCCCCTCCCTCCGAGGGCCAGCCCCTCGGACACGCAGGGCCCGCGGACACGCAGATGAGCTTACATGGCGCGCATGTTGTTTTCCGGCAGCAGTGGGATTTCTAGGACCTTGGTGTTGGAGAGGATGGCCTCGTGGCTGGTGGTTGACACAGTCTTGCCCGTGATCCGGTGCACCTGGTAGAAGGCGTGCGGCCTCAGCAGCCGGTCGTCTGCCGTGCCGATGAAGAGCTGCAGGGTGAGCGGCTCGCTTTCCATGTAGCCATGCAGCTGCGGACAGAGGAGCAGTGGCCCATGAGTGCCGCACCCACGCCGGGACCCGCCTCGCTCCCCACAGAGGCAGTTTCAGAGGGAAGTGTGTGGCCCCAAGGCCAGTCCCCCACCTCCTACTGGTCTGGATACCTCGTGACCCAAAGTCTGGGGCCTCTGCTCTGGAGTCGGCTTTGAACACGAGTGCACACAAGGACCATACACACCTGCGTGCGTCTGCCTGCATCTCAAGACAGCAAAAGGGACCCCAAGAGGGGCAGGTGGGGAGGAGAGCCGGGGTCTCCGGTCCACGGCCTCGTCCGCAGACACTCCTCTGCCCACGCGTGTGGACACAAGCATCTCATGAGGCCAAGCCCAAAGCTGATGCACAAAGTGCAAGCCCCTCCACCAATGAATTTAGACACGCACCCAATGGGACTCGATCCACTTTCTCCTACTCAGCCCCCTCCTGACCAGAAACAGGATGCTTCAAATCAGACACAACCGACATCCGCCTGGCAGGCCGCGGGTGTGTGGGGCTCTAGGATCTGTCCCGTGTGGCCCAAGTCATGGCCCATCTTCTGCCAGCTTCAGACCCCACATGGGAGGTGTGTAGCGGGGGCTGCACATGGCCATTTCAATTGTGTGCTGGGCACATGGTCTTTTGTGGGCACAAAACCCATTAGCCTTGGACCCCAGACACATGACAGGCCGACTACCAGCTGCCCCTGGATGGACCTTGGGTGGAGTCCCCGCCTCGCTTTCCCCTGCACCCCTCCGTGAAAGTCCCTCTCAGAACGGCACTGGATTTGCCTTCCATCCTGTTTATGGCAGGCCGTCCTCAAGAGGGAAACCCAAAGCAAGCAGGCAGTGCAGGGCCAGCCCCTGTGCTGACCCCCCCCCACAGAAGCGGGGACCTGCCAGGGTCCCAACACAGGATCCCAAGAGGGCAGCCGCCGACACAGGCTCAGGGTGCACATTGGGCCGCTCTCCCCTTCGCGGGGTGTCATCACTGCTCCTTGGACTCATGTTAGCAGCTCTGACAACAGGCAGCTCAGTGGCTGTCAGTCGCCGCTTCCATGTGGGTGAGGGCACGGCCGCCTACCCCCCGGCCGACCCTACTCCCCGGGTGGAAACCACAGGAGAACTGGCCCTGCAGTGGGGTTGTTCTCAGGTCCGGCCGATACATGAGCCCCAAAGCCCCTGCTTAGATGAGGCTTCGTGGGGACCAGTCCCCGCCCTGCCATCCCGGCTCTGCCTCTGCCCTGCAGGAAGTCGTCATGATGGTCACTTCACAGCTACAGGCAGGAGTCCAGGCTGGACGACCAAGCACTTCCAGGCAGCGCTGGCTCAGGCCTGGGATGGAGGTAGACTGAACACAGACAGTTCTCAGACACACAGGGGGACAGGCTCAGTGACCCACAGAAACAGGACACCTCCAGGTCCAGCAGCAGCTGACCTCCATGTCCAAGACCCTGCTTGCTGTTTCTAGGGCTCACTTTTTCCAAGCTGGGATGTCAGAATGGAAGCTGACGCTCCAGAGACAAACAAGCCAGAACTTTGCCGGCAGGTCCGGCACTTTCTCTGCCCCATGTCTCCCTCCTCCGTGTGGAGATCCCATTGCACGCTTCCCTGGCTGGTTTCCACTTCTTTCCACGACACCTGGGTAGCGGCAGCCACCTCGTTCCCGTCCTTGGCTGTGGCCTCCCCAGCTCTCCTCTGACCCCACGGTGAGGGACGAGTCTCTTCCGCCCAGAGAAGCGAGTGCGAGCTGCTTCCAGCGTGGTTCAGAGCAGCAGCAAACGGTCCATCAGGACGTGCTGACAAACCCAGCTACTGCGCTGACATCACTTAATTAAGAGATGAAGCCACTTGTAAATTCTGAGGCCTCAGAAGAGAATCCAAACAATGACAGGCTGTTCATGAGAGTCACGCTCACTCACTGAGCAGAGTGCCGGGCCGCCCACCCCTGACGTGGGAGGATGAGCCGGGGCGTCAGGCAGAGCACCGGGCCAGAGAGGGATCTGCATGGCACCTCATCAGGGCAGGGCTCGCGTAGCGTCATGGCTCCGTCCATCCAGCCCCATCTCCCGGCAGACATGGTCTGCACAGCATTACAACAGACGATACGGGACCACAGGCCACTGAGCCCAGCTCTGACTGCGGCTGAATAGCAGCCCCAGTGAACGAGTTTACAGCTTCAGGTGAGCATCCGGCAGCTGACTCCCAGCGCTGGGGACTGGCATCTGCGTACGTCTCTGGGGAGCGGTCTGTAGCTCCCGAGTAACATTAAACAGCCTGTGTTTGTTAAATGTCACAGGCTGCAGAGTGGCTTCCGGGGCATCTGAGCATCACTGTGAGATCTTACGGAGATGAGGAGGATGCAGGTCAGGTGTGCACACAAGTCGGGCGTGCACACAGGATGGGTGTGCACAGATGCACACGCCACACATGCATGCTCACAGGCTGACATGTGCACACATGCTCTCCAGACTCTCTGGGACCCTGGAGTTGGTTAAAGATCTTATCTGCTGGCAGTAGCAGCAGTTTCAGGCGTCAGGCTCCCTGTTTTTATCATCTTTGTCTGTGACACAGCCCCAGGCACCCATGGGTGTGCTCGTCTTCCAAGTGGGTCTTTCCTATTAGGACAATCTTGTGTTCATCCTGATCCACAGGTCTGCCCCGTATGGACCAGACGTGTGCCTGATGGGCAGTGAGCAGAGGGAATGAGCTGGTATCAGGCCTGTTGGCTGATCCCTGAGTGTCCACAGCAAGCAGAGAGCTGGCGAGAGCCTAAGTTTACTAAGAGAGACCTAATGTCCACTCGCTGTTCTCCTGGCCTGCTGTGTGGACAAAGGCTGACATGGGGCCTCCCCCACCTCTGAGGCCATCGACACAGAGAACCTGCTGGGGCCACCAACTCCTGACGGTGGGTCCTGCTGACAAGGTTAATTCTGTAGGAACCGCACGCCCTACCCACTAGGGCGGACGCGCACTCTCCTAGGTGGACCCACGAGCGTCTCTGAGCATGGTGCTGAGTGGGGGGGGGGGCATTGCTGGGAACCAGGACTGGCCCCCCAGCCCACTCAGTTGCTCTCTTCCTTTCTGGGGAGCCCGAGTCCAGTCTTCTGCCAAACCAACGAGCTTCCTGAGGAACCTGTGCTGGGCTCGACCTAGGTTTTCACAACAGGAAACGTGAAAATAAAATCAGAGACCGAGGAAGAAACGAATCCTGGCTCTCAGTATTACATTCTGTGACATTTAATACAAGAGTATATAGGTGAGTCTCTGACCAAGACTCGCTCATGTGTGGCCACGGTGTGTTCCTCGTGTCAGGAGGGGCCGCCAGGGCGGCACGTGGTCTGGCCGGGGTCAGACGGTCTGACAACAACAACTTCGAATCCCACAGGACTCACTCTGGGGCCTGGCTCTGCCGGTGGGCAGTGCATTGTGGGTACAATGCTGCCTTTTTAAAAACATGCCATTTCAGTGAAAATGGGAATATTTAAGGCTTAACCTGGGAGGTAAACATCTATTATTTAAAACATGAAGTTCATTTTAAGAGAAGTCATTTAAATACTTCACATGTTCCACTGCATGGGTTTTCTGCCCCTGGCACCTTATAGTATCTGTCAAAATAATATTTATAAAATTACCTGTCAGAGCAATGGCCTCTCTTTGCTTCACCCTAAACTAGACTGGATGTATTTTTCCATTTTCAAGGTACGAGAGCTAGTGAGTTTTCTACACACAGAGATGTTTGTTTTTAGCTGCTGCGCTCAGCTCAGCACTTACACGGCAGGATGACAGGTGAGGAATGATTGAGGCCAAATTTACCGGACGCTGAAATTCCCACAGCACATGCACACACACGGGCAGCAGCATTGTCAAACAAAGGACCAGTTAATTGAGTGAAATTACTTTCAACTAAGTTTCCAGTTGGTATGAACATACACCAAGCAGGGATCCTTGTACACAGTCAAGCAGGCAATTTAAAGGGAAATTATGCGTTTAACCCAGATGTAAAATTTGCATCTTCATGCAATACCCAAAGGAGCTCTGCAGGAAGAAAAACTCCAGTTCACAAGCTGGTTCCACTTTTTTCAACCAAAATTTTCCCAGTACTGGATTAACTTGAGAGACTGCCATGTGAGCTTTCGGCCTCCAAACCCAAAAGAGGGCTTTCCCCCAGGGCGTCTCGCGTCCTCCACGGCCTAGGAGGAAGGACAGGCCCCTGGCGTGAGGTTAGCTCCCGCCAGACCAGACCTTGGGCGGGCAGGGCCGACGCTGTGCCCCGAGCCCTCGTTCCTCAGGACAACGTCTCTGAACTCACTGTAAATATCGCATGATGGATGGGGGAAGTGGCCACTCCCCAGGGGTTCGGGTGGGCAGAGGTGTGACTCTGGCAGCCAAGCCTGGGCTGTGGGTCTCCCACCAGTGACCAAGAGGCACCATGGGCTGGGCCAGACCAGAGGGCTGACGGAGGTGCCGAGAGACCAAGGGCACTGCCCATCAGATGCCCACACGCCCGTCATCGGCCTGCCGTTGGGCCAGCCCCAGCCCTGGCACCAGGTGCCGTGGAGGGGATGGCTGCCACACAGCAGCCAGGCAGGACTGTGGGTCCTGCTGAGTGGGGCCTGGCCTACACAGGGTGGCCTACACCTGAGTTGACGCAGAGCAGGCAGCTGTCCCGCAGCCCAGAGCCCAGTGGCCCTCGAAGGAGAGGAGACGAAGGGCCCAGTTCAGCAAAGACCGTGCTGCTCCACCCAGAGTGTGTGGACGGGGTGCTCCTGACCCCCACGCTGCACGTTGGGCAGGGGCAGCGCTCAGGGGCAAGCCCCCAACAAAGAAAGGACCGTGTGCACAGCATGGCAGGAGGAGGGGTGGGGCCGGGAGGACCTGCCGTGGGGTCCGGCCTGGGGGCAGGGGCCTCAGTTACCCGGGTGCTGCTCCGTGTCTGCTGAGTCAGCGACGGCCACAAACCCAGCCATCTCTTCTGCTATTCTCACTGTCCACCTCAC